CAGGGATCTATAAGGGCTTAGGGTTGAGGGGTTTAGGGTTTAGGATTAGGGTCCACAGAGTTTTGCGGCTTGCAGGGTTCGGGGTTTCTGTCGGCTTTCAGGAGCAGACCAAACCCCAAAAGCCTGAACCTTACGTGACCCCTAAGCCCCGTACAAGGCCCTAAATCCCAAACCCTAAATCCTACATGACATAACCCCGAAACCCAAAACCCTGTATAAGCCCTAAACCACAAACCCCGAAAAACTAAACATAAATCCGAAACCATAAATTCCGATATAACCCCGAAGCCCTAAACCCCTCAACCCATATAGATCCCTATAATAGACCCCTAAACAAAAAAAGGGAGCCCCTTAAAAGGAACCCTAAAGCAGGAGCCCGCAGCAGCCGAACAGCTTCCTCGAGCCGCGTCGCATCGCAGAGAAGTTGCCCGCCTTCACGCAGGAGCCGCTGCTGAAACCGCGACGCCCCGGAGGCTTTCTGCAACTGTCGTTTCAAAGCCTCGAAGCGTCGGGTGGTCTCGGGGTGTCAGCAAAAAGGGCCCCCAGGTGCTGAATTTAGGGGTTTTGGGGTTGGGGATTTAGGGTTTAGGGTGTAGGGTTTAGACTGTTTAGACACTTAGGGTTTAGGGATTTAGAGTTTAGGGATTTAGGGTTCAGGGGTTTAGGCTGAACGCCCGACGCCTAAGCTCGTAAATAGACGAGACGCATAGACAGGCGGACGAGGCAGCACATCTTGGGCCATCTTTTGAAACTCCTGCTGCAGCGGTGTGCAGGGTTTGGGCTTTGGGTATCAATCCAATGAGGTAGGGCCCCAAAAAAAGATGATGGCACCCTTAATAAAAAGGACCCTAAACGAGACCCTAATTTGAAGCACTACCCAAATCTTGACAGATCCAACCGTCACAATGGGCAGTTGTGCTTATTCTTACTATGTTGGATGCTGAAACGAGCAAGAGTAGCGATACTGCTATCCGCAGTGGTAGTGCTTGTTGTTGTTGTTGTTGCTGTTGTTGCTGTAGGCAAATATCATGGACTCAGAACTACCAGTATGATAAACAGCATGACGTACTCGGCACCATCCTTAGCACGTTTACGACTCCTGTTCATAAACCCTGAACCCTAAACCCTAAACCCTAAACCTAAACTTAAGTGTCTTTTTACGAATGTGATGACTGTCATGACTGGGAAGTTGCTATTCGTGGTTCGATGACTGGGATTGGGAATGGTGCGATTTCTGTTGTAGTGTTGGGGGGATTAAGGTTTAAGTACATGCGACTGCGGCTGCAGATCTGCATTTTGGGCTTACAATAAAATATAAAATTTGGGTTCAACCTTCATGCCAGCCAAAAGTTCCATGTCTTCTCTAACCGCGACCTGCAAAGCCCAAAAAGCCTGAAGCCCGAACTGCAACCGAAAGCCTCGCGGTTTGGGGTTTAGGGTTTGGGTTTAGGGTTCAGGGTTTAGGGTTACCCTACCTAAAGCCCTACGCAACCGCTGATCCTGCAAACTCCCAGCAACAGCCTGGGTTCTTGTTCAGGAATCCAGTTTAAGTTACCGTACTGGTGATATGGTTCTTTATTATGCTGACTTAAATCAAATGGGGGTTTCCGAAAAAAGGGGACCCTAATATAGTACCCTAAATAATAGGATCCCTATTATAAGGACCCCAAAATAAGGTACCCTAATTTTCTGAAACTCCCAAACCCCTTAACAAGAACCCAGAAACAGTTCAGGCTCATCTTCCGAAGGTAAAAACCCTAAGCACTAGACCCTTACGCGCTGAACTCCCAAGCCACATAGGCAGCTATCATGTGGGTGGTTGTCAAAATTATGGTCCTTTTTGGGTCCTTATTATAATACGGCACCTATTATTTACGGTACCCCAAAGGGGACCATAATTTTGACAACTACTCATGTTGGGTCAGCTCCTCTACTGGCAGCGCCAGTGCTTGATCCCCGGAGGTGCGGTAGACGCGAATCATTCCGCCGGAGGCTACACCAAAACTTCTTCCTACAGCCTAGGGGTTTAGGGATTAGGGTTTAAGACCCTGAACCCTAAACCCCAAAAATCGGGCTTAGATGCTCCGCGCTGAGGATTTACCTTTGAGGGTTTGGCGCTCGAGGCCTCAGGGGCTCATGGAAGAGACGAGAAAGCATGGAGAAGGGAACATGAAAATGAAGGTGAAAGATTATGACGATTATGATAAAGACGGCGCTGGTGGTGAAGATGGCGCTGATGATGACGATGATGATGATGGTGGTGGTGGTGGTGGTGGTAATGATGATGGTGGTGACGGTGATGATGACCCCGGCAATGGCGATGTGACGATGATGATGGTGGTGGCGGCAGTGACGGGCACAATAAAGACGACGAAGATCCGCAAGACGATGGTGGTGATCACTGTGGCCTTCTGATGGAGTTGTCCACCAGAAAGAGGATGAG